TTGAGGAGCAATTTTCAGTCAAGAAAATTAAGATTGGGTTGTGACCTATTCAGTTGAATAAATCACAAGCGATACTGTAGAGAGATCTTAAGTTTGAGATCTTTTTTTTTGTCAATGAAAAACTTTTATTCATTCACCAAAATGTGAAACATATGTACAACAAGATAATCAGCTCAAAAGAACTGAAAAAAACAAAACAGGATCAGTCAAACAATTATATACAGGAGAGAGTTTCAAAGAGACATTATCCACTGCTTGTTGTCCTATGAGAATGAACCATTGAGAGTAGCGATCAATATTGCCTCTTTAACATCCCTGGTAACTTGATCAATATTTCTGGATTTCAGATTGAAAATCCTATTGTTTCTTTCTTTCCAAATGCATTAAATAGAAGCTATCAACGCCAATCTTTTCACACTTTTCTTGAAGCCTCTTCCCTTTAGACTTTTGCTAAACCATTCCAAAATGATATCCCAATTACAAGCCTTCCATCTGAATTGAAGCCAATCCAAGATGTTATTCCATACACCACATGAGAAGTAACATTCAAAGAAAAGATGGCTACGAGATTCCTGAGCTGAAGAGCATAAGCAACATTGTCCAGATTGAATAATGCCTCTCCTAAGTAGTCTATCTTTGGTTTGCAATTTGTTAAGAACAGCTAACCAAAAGATAAAACTATACTTAGGGTAGTTCTTTGAATCCCAAACTGTCATAAACCAAGACATTTTGCTGGATACAGGGGAGATGGCTGAGTATAGTTTGGATAACTGGATTTTAGAATTCTTGCAACATGAGCTAATACACTGTTTCATATTATTAATTCCTCCACAAATAATGATTGGTTTATCCCTGACCTGGAGTAACTGCTTCCACATCCAAGAATCACTTGATTTCATGTTAACTTGCCATATTGTAGAATTTTTCAAATAATTGGCATGAATCCATTTAATCCATAGCCACTCTTTGTTAATATGAATATACCATATTAACTTGAGGCCAGAGGCAATGTTCCATGTAGCTGTAGAAAAAATGCCTAAACCTCCATACTTTTTCTCCTTGCATATTTTTTCCCAGGCAACAGGGGGGGTTTGAAAACCTGATCAGTTTTCCCCCAAAAGAAATCCCTGCATAAGGCATCAATTTTATGAAGAACCTTTGCTGGCAATATGTAGTTAGAGGTCCAGTATAGTTGGACACCCAAAATTACACTCTTGATGACTTGGAGTCTCCCTGCATATGACAATTTCTGAAACTTCAACCAAGTCTGAAACTGGCTTGTAATTTTTCTAAAAAAGTGGGAAGCAATCAATATATGATAGTCTCTTGCATATCAAAGGAACTCCAAGATATTTTATTGGCAGTGTCCCTTCTTGAAAACCCAAGCAACTATTAATGAAGCTCTTAATATGATCATCAACACCTCCAAAAAAGATAGCACATTTAGAGGGGTTGGCTTCCAAACCAAACATGGCACCAAAATCTCTAACACGGTAATAAAGCTTTTGAACTGAATATAAATCTCCTCTACAGAACAGAAGGAGATCATCAGCAAATGCAAGATGTGTAATTTTAAGCTTCCCACTTTTAGGGTGAAATTTGAAATCCCTATCTTGTTTCAACATGTTTAGATTCCTAGTAAGATACTCCAATCCAATAATAAACAAATAAGGGGAGATAGGATCACCTTGCCTCAATCCTCTAGCACCCTTGAAATATCCATGAAGGGATCCATTCAGGGAAACTGAAAATTTAGGTGTAGAAATGCATGACATAGTCCATTTAATAAACATTTCAGAGAACCCCAGACCTTTGAGCATTTTCTCCAGAAATGTCCAACTAATGGAGTCAAAAGCCTTCCGTATATCAATGTTGAGCATTGTCCTTGGAGAAATGTGTTTTCTACCATAGTTCTTCACCAATTCATGTGCTAACAGAATATTATTTGAAATTTGTCTTCCCTTAACAAAAGCACATTGAGATTCACTGATTATTGAACCAATGACTGTTTGCAATCTATTAGCCAGTATTTTTGAAATGAACTTATATAAACAGTTACAACATGATATTGGTCTGAAATCAGTGGGAGTTTGAGGGCATTGTACCTTTGGAATGAGAGAAATGGAGGTTGAGTTGATAGATCCCAATAACTTTCCAGTTTTGAAAAATTCCAGTATAGCAGTAATGATATCATCCCCTATAATTGACCATGAAGTTTTATAAAAAGAAGCACTAAACCCATCAGGACCTGGTGCTTTGTCATCATGCATAGAGAAAATAGCCTGCTTGATTTCATCCTTTGTAACTAGACTAGATAATGTGGCAGCTTGAGTTTCAGAGAGGCATGGACTATTTTGAATAATGCTCAAATCTGGCAAGGAAGTGTTGATAGCAGTACCCATCAGATTTTTGTAATAAGAGATAAATTCCATAGCAATTTTCTTCCCATCAGTGATTTTATCACCCTTGTCATTAAAGAGAACCATCACTCTATTAAGGTGCCTGTTCCTCTTAGCAATAGAGTAAAAAAGATATGTGCATCTATCCCCTTGAAGACATCAAGCAATCCTTGATTTTTGCTGATAAAATGATAACTCACATTCCAGGAGTTTGTTATAGGAGGCTAAACATTTCTTTTCTTGAGCAATGAAATCTGCATTAAGAGGGTTAAGTTGGAGAGAGTTTTGCACAACCTCCAGATCACTTTTAGCTCTAAGAACCTGCTCACTTATATTGCTGAAATTTCTTTTATTCAGTTCTTTCAGAGCAATCTTCAGAAGTTTCAATTTAGATGAGACTTTGAACATTGTGTGGCCCTCAATATTAGAATGCCAAATAGAGGAAACAGTAGAGAGATATTTCTCATGCTTGGTCTACATTTTGAAAAATTAAGTTTGAGATCTTCTCTTAGTAAGTTTTGTAATTTCTTATGGTTAAATAAGAAATTAATTGTGCGGCTCCCGTGGACGTAGTCAAACTTGCCGAACCACGTAAATCTGTTGTTTCACCACTTATTGTTTTATCTGTATATTCGTTATTGCTTGTATTGGTTGGTTTGAGTTTGGAGTAAATTAACTTAAGCTAGGGTTGTTTTCTCTCAGGATTGATTTAGCTTCTGCAGCAGTGTGGGTAGCAGTGTGGGCGTTCCCTCGCTCCCAACAATTGCAAATTTGATAGTCGTTTTGATTTCTCTGATTATAGGATTGCAGTCTTTAAGAATAATATCTATTCTCATTTATATTTCACGTAAATGACGATTAAATAATTAATTTTCATTGTACACCAGCAACGTAAAAGAACGGAATCCTATACTTAAGCTACAATAGTATCGAACCTATTGCTCACCACGTATCATTGCCTAGAAATAGAATATTTTTAAACAAATTTTCCGATTTTACCATTCATTATAATTATCCATGTTACTCTTTTTCGATGACGATAAAACTCTTAAATCCAGACTTTACTTAAAAAATATTCATGTATATGCATACGGCTGAGATTTATTTCTCTAACCTGAGGATTCGAGACAACTTGCAAAAAACCTGATGAAGATCCAATAAAATTCACACAAAAAACTCTTAAATGGGTTCCTTCACTTTGTTAATGACAGCAACAGGAAGAAAACGAAATGCTAAAAAAGCAACCCAAATTTATATATGAAAAAACAAGAGAAGAGGAATAAATGTAGTATTATCCAAAGCAGGTGCGCTACCCTTCTGGATAAACTGGACCCATTCCACATTATAATATGCTCGGTCCTCGTGTCGTTAACCCATAGGCGGATACCGACAACAATGAATCAAAATATAAAAATTTAAAAAAAATTCTGGCCACGAGATTAATTATAAAACCCATCATAATCTCCACCACCCAACTCTAATATCATCATATTTAATATTGTTAAGCACCGCTAATATAAAGGCTCGCTCACTGAGTCATGCACCCCTAACTGTTCTTTAAACGCGAAGAGTTGATTCTAGAGCATAAAATCATAACCCATCGTGTATCAGGACAACTCAGACTAAATCCCTGAATCACACATTTAAAGAGAATTGAAGGAAAAAAAAAAAAGATATCAATGCATAATTTCAGATATACCCTCATAAAAAGGTGTATATAACCTAAGACAGCAGTCATATTTAATGATATAAAATTATAATCATTCAGAAGCGAAGGAAGAGACTTCCAAAAGTTAAACTCCATCATTAAGAAAACTATACTGTAGCACATAATAAACTTAATTAGATGAGAGAGAGAGAGAGAGAGAGAGAGAGTGAGAAGGGAAAAGGATGGAAAAAGAAAGCGAAGGCTCTTTCGGAGCTCTCAGGATTCCTCACGTCTCTTTGTGGAGAGAGCAGAGGTTGCTGGGGAAAGAGCGGAGCAACTCAACCCTGAGGTCACCATCGAGGGGAGTTAACGTGTCCACCAAGTCATCGCCCATGATGTGTGATGCTCGGAAGATCCTGACCGTTTGTTGGTCTCCACACAATTCTGTTGATCTATTTGTTCCATCTAGCTAGTCCCCCACTTCCTCAACTCCCAAGCCCTAACCGACTAAACTAACTATTCAACCCTGCTTTAGCCCATAGCTTGGGCCCACCCAAGTTTTGGCTCATGTTATAGCTAAGATAGATAATGCACACATGCACAATATCCATTACCAAGTTCCATACAAGCAGTAGTTCGACATATTGATCTGCATTCACGCGAAGCAATGCTTTACATGTACACAAAGCAGAGAGTAAATGAAATTTACTACTCTTTTTTCTTCATGAAAGATATAAGGGAAAGGGGTTGGTGCACCTCAGGAGAGAAGCTTCACATACATATATCAGGTACATGCATGGAATTATGCACTGCATAAATGCGTATAAAGAAAATGTGATGATATAAAACTGGATGCACTGAAAGATGATAAGGTTCAGAATCTAATGCCTTCCACAATTAGGTGACTGCTCCATCAATGCTACACATAACAAGCATAAAACTTATATAAAAGGGATTGCTTTTATATCTCAACTCTTTCCATTTACACACAACTGCCACAACATTATGTACAATACAAGTTCTAAAAATAAAAGAATATATATGGAAGACAAAATACAATCCATTAACCTAGCACACTAGTACTATGCATGGAAACATTACCAAAGTAGATATGATTTCACAACAAACATGTAAAAAAGAGCTAGCTATGGTTTCCTTTATCTTCATTCTATGTATCTACCACTTGTTCCTACTTTTTACCTTTCTATTTCATATAAGGGTGGTGGATGTAGCTTTCCACATTTATTCACTGTGTTCATACCTTCTTTTTTTAAATCTTTTTTACATACTTTAGAAACTTCTTTATAGATTTTCCCTTTTTTTCTTTTTTTTTTGGCAAATCTTAGAAAGGAGGTGATCTATGGGGTATACCCTTTCTTCTGGAAGTCCGAAAGCTGATGATCGGTGGAGTCGCCGGAGAAATGCTGCTGCTAGCATTGCCAACATCATCTTCTGACCATTTCCCTCCTCCATGAGAGGGCAATTCAAGAGTCCTGTTGAATGCTGCAGTTTTTCGCAGCTTTGTCGGCGTTGAGGACTCGTCGGATTCAGACCCGTTAAGCGAATCCCTACCGAGTTTTGGGCGCAGAGCAAATGTGAGGTCAGGGTCCCCTCTCTTCATTCCTCCAAGCTGTGGAAAGAAAACAATGGCAAAGTTGAGACCAACAGATTTTGATGATCAAAATAAATTGCGTCATTTGAACAAAAATATGTTAGTTTTTTCAATCAAGAAATAGGCATTGCTTATCCTATAAATTTGATCCATAGAGAATTGATTATTCAAGTCAATTCCACAACTTAATCCAATACCTTGCCATTGCTTAACAACCATTAAAGATACTCCTTTTACTAGTTTATAACCAATTAGCACTAACACCAACAAATGGGCATTACTTAAAAACCTGAAATACACCAGTTTCCAATACTCAGAAGCTTCACGTACCAAACTCAATAGCAAGACCAAAACCAAACCAATAAATATTGAACAAAGAGGCACTGCTTCAAAAAAAAAAAAAAAAGTAAAGAAAAAAAGGAAAGAAATATCAAACCTTGCATCCAAGAGAGCAGAATCTGAATGAATCAAGCAGACTCCTGCAGCAAATCTCGCAGGTGTTTGTAACCCCCTTTCCAGGCCTCGGCTGCGGCCTCTCATTGAGGAACACAATCTTAGCACTGTTGATAATGTAGGTCTGAACACAGGAAATGTCTATAAATTTCGACACTTCAGAAACCCTGATCACATTATGATACGACGATCTACGTATCTACAAAGAATCAAGAAATTACCCATCAAATCAAAGTGAGCAAGAACTTGTAAAATGATTAAAAGACTGATAAAGAACCAACCTGAACAACGTGATGATCTTTGTGGCGAGAGAGGCAATAAGAGCAGAGCGCGCTCCCCGTACAATCCAAGCAGTACATATTGCATTCGCTCTTGCTCGAGTCGCCATGGACTTCACAGGGGATGAAGAAGCTTGCCCTCAAAAGAGGCTTCAGCCATGGCGGACCAAAATCTTCATTGTTATTCATTCTATTCACCATTTGACCAACCTTTGAAAAATAAAAATTAAATCAATTTAAAACGAGAAGGAGAGAAAAACAAAGAATGCAAATATCTGCAAAGAAAAAAAAGGAAAGAAAATAAAAAGGAAATTAGGGGCATTACCATGACCTTCTTTTGTTTGGTTCCAATCTGAGGATGATTCTCGATAGCCAGCTTGTGCAGTTGCAAACAAAGCCAAAAGCTGATACGAAGAAAAAGAAAGAAAAAAAAAATTAAAAAGACAGGAAAAACAGAGGAACACCCAAGATGAGAAATTTATTGGAGAAAAGAAAAACAATGGCAAATATCTAAGTAGTGGGTTTTTTAGCAGAGGGTCATTACCTCTAGAATCAATGACAGAGATTTAATTGAAAGGGAGGAGGAAGAAAATGAAGAGAAATAGAAGAGGCCAGGGCTCCAGTGAAAGAAAAAGGGAAGGGCTGGGTGGGTTGAGGACAAATATATGTAAGGCGGTTTGAAGAATTTTAGGCCGGCGATGAAATCAACGACTCTGATTTAACTTGGAACCTTTGTAGGTGAATGCGAACCGTTCATTGTGTGATTACAGATAAGCAGACCGAAGGTGGGCGATGTTAATTGTATTAATTAAAGAATTATTACATGAAAATATAGCTTTTAAATGCAAAATCTTACGGTCCTCAAAAATTGGAATCTCCGTAAAGGGTAGAGAATTTATTTATGTTTTCCTCCTCCCTTTTTTTATTCCCTCTTCTTTCTAAAGTAATTAGTTTGGAGTCAAATCCCTGGGGATTTTTCTATTCAAGGGTTTACCGCTTCAAAACGTCTCAAGCGTCTTAGGTGATGTCACAACAAATTGGCCCCTTGTTGAATTAAATTGATTTGATTTGACTTTTCCAAGCTTCACTGAGAAAAGATTAGGGAAAAATAACAATCTATAGTTTTAACTTTTACATATACTTTAGAGTGGTTTGATAAAAGAGGTGATGTTTTAATCTTCGAGAATAATCAAGGTGTGCAAGACTGTGGTAAGATTTATTGTGGAGAGGCTATTATAAGGGTAGGGCTATTCCCTCTGAAGGGGTCCAACTATTCACACTCTCAAACCGTAACTTTGGGGGTGTGTGAGGACTAAATTATCCTTCTCCTAAATCAAAACAGGCCAAGTCCATTCTAGAAACACCCTCAACATCAAAAGGGCATTTTCGGCGATCCAACTCTAAAAATTACTGTTTGGAAGTGAATATAGCAAACAGGCCTCTGAAGAAGCTTTTCAGTATTTAAACATTATAAGTTAGCATGTGAAAAGTTACATATCGTGGCCGAACTAGGAAAATGTCAAGCGTGTTCTTATTTTAATAAAAAAAGAAAAAAGAAAAAAGGTGACATATGAAATTAGTGACTAGTTAATAAAAATATTAATAATGTTGTAAATGGGTTAATAAATAATTTTAAAATTGGGTAGATACCGTAGATTACATTAAACCCCGAAGAACTTCTAGTATTTTTTACTTACCCCAATAACTTTCAATATCGCACTAAAACCCGAGTAGATTTTGAATAAATAGTCAACATTGTTACATCCAACATAGCAAATACAACTCAACTTTCAATATCGCACTTAAAACGACTATAATAGCGTTTTAACTATTAAAAAAAACTCTTTAGGACTTTTTGATATTTTTAACCCCAAAAGCATAAACCTTCTGTATTTTTTCATTCGTTCTCCTCTTGCTTATGACCAGGTTAGGCCCCGAACTTTAATATATATATATTTTTACTAAAATTGTTGACGAAAATGTCTTTTTATGCTTTTTTGTTCTAATTTATAGGGGTTATTTGTAAAGGAAATTATTAGGGGTTTTTTGCAATTCCAAAAGTTATTAGGGGTTTAATATAATTTTGAAAGTTATTAGGGATTTACTGCAAAATACAAAAAGTTAATGGCAATTTAGTGTAGTCATGGATAAGTATATCAGTAGAGAAGAACTTGTAATCGCCATTGTGAACAAGAAAGACGTTCAATCATGATTAGATTATTTAGCTTGCTGAAATTAGGCTGTAGCTTCGATCTCCAGACTATGGGGTGTTGTATTATTTGGATTGTGGTACTACGACTGTGTTATCCTAGGGCTAACTAGTCCAATTTGATATTTATTTTTGCATGGACTAATATTCGGGTAACATAGAATAATCCTTATTGGCGCTTATTTTAAGGGACTTATGACCATCCAGAGTAATATCATAACAAGAATGATATTTTTACTCTCATATCAATTAATATTGTATTAATGCATTTATTTGGGGAAAAAAAACATTCAGAGTTTGGACATGACCATACCTAAAAAGTTAAAATACACTTGAATCATTTTTAAAATATTACAGCATATATTTTCTTACTAGTAACTAGCACTAAACAATAAAACTATGTTTTATTCATTAAAGCGATGTTAGTGGCATTCTTTACCATATCTTATATTATTTAAAGCCAATTTCTAGAACTTCTCATGCAAAAACTTGGACGGGGGAGGAATGGTCATGATCGCCGTATACTTTACCCTCAAATATATTGTAGCTTGATATTATTTTCAAGTGAAAGCAATAAAAAAAGGAATGAATCATATTTCCTATGTTGTGCGCGGCGGAAGCTTCTTGTGCAACACGAACAATAACTCGAGATAAACTACAACCAATAAGCAAAACACAACCACAGCAAGAACAAACGATTTACGTAGTTCGACAAGTTGTCTACGTCCACGGGGCAAGGAGGGGGGAGTTCTTACTATTAGAAATCAAAGAATACAAGTAGAGTTACAAATCTCACCGATCAAACCCTAAAACAAAACTTTAGATCTCTCACAACTCTCCCACAATTGGATGCAATAATTCTCTCTCAAAGACTGCTCAAAATCGTTCTTGCTCTACCCTAATTAATCAGTTTTAGGGTTATATATCAACTGAAAAACGAACCGGGTCAAAAACCAAAAGCCCAGTCCAATCCAGTTTGCGGTCGACCGCGCAGGTTTCGCTGTCGACCGCGGTGGTCGACCGAACCATAAACCCGAGACTTAAATAAATTATAGTCATCCGCGGTCGACCGCGGCGGTCGACCGCCATCAGCTCCGAATCCTACTGGCCTTCGTGCACGTTCGCGGTTGACCGCGACGGTCGATCGCCAGTCTGTCTGGCTGATTCTTAACTGTTTCTTGCATTTCTTCAATTCTCCACCTCGACGAATATTTCCACCAAAACTGAGCCGATACCAAATCATCCAATAGTCCCTCAACAAGTCAGGGAACCAAACTAGAGCTGAAACACGATCTCCCCCCATCTGAATCAACAAATCAAACCGGCTGCATCTGAAAGACTGCCTACGTATCCTCTTACCCAAGGAATCAAGCCGAACGTAGTTCACCCAAATGGCCTTCAAAGGCCTCAACACTGAAGGATGTTCAAAAGCTTCAAACAATGACCAAATTTTACTCCTGAAACAACTTTGGTCAACATATCTGCAGGGTTGTCATTCGTGTGGACCTTCTCCAATATGACGTCTCCATCATCCAAAATGTCACGTACAAAGTGGAATCTGACGTCGATGTGCTTCGTGCGCGCATGATAAACCTAGTTCTTCGTCAAATAGATAGCCGACATGCTATCATAATATATCCAAATGGTCTCCTGAGCGATCCTCAAGTCCTCCAATAATCCACGAAACCATAAAGCCTCCTTAATAGCTTCAGTTACTGCCATATACTCTGCCTCCGTAGTAGAGAGAGCCACTGTGGACTGAAGCGTACATCGCCAACATACAGGTGCACCTGCCAATATAAAAGCATAACCTGAAGTAGACCGGCATTTGTTAAGATCTCCAGCATAATCTGAATCCACATATCCAATACAATCTTGCCCATTTTTCTCATCATTCTGGAATACTAAACCAACATCCACGGTGCCTCGAACATACCGTAGAATCCACTTCACGGCCTCCCAATGACCCTTCCCGGGGTAGTGCATGTATTGCGATTCTATGCTCACGGCCTGTGATAAATCTGGCCTCGTACACACCATCACATACATCAAACTACCTACTACACTGGCATATGGGACCTTCGACATATAATCTCTGTCCTCAACTGAAACAGGTGACATCAACGCTGAAAGCTTGAAGTGGGGAGCTAATGGTGTGCTAACTACTTTTGCATTGCCGTCAAAGCTGAATTTCTTCAACATCTTCTACAAGTAGCTCTTCTGTGTAAGTTTCAAACTCTCCTTTACTCTGTCTCTCTCGATCTCCATACCCAATATCTTTTTTCCCTCTCCAAGATTCTTCATCTCAAACTCGGATGACAGCTCATCTTTCAACTTTCGAATAGCCGAAGAATTCTTGGAAGCAATAAGCATATCGTCAACATATAAAAGCAAATATATATGCTCACGATCAATTATTACTTAACTCTATTAATTTGGCAAGCGACAATATTTTTATATATTTTTTATTTATTAAAACTATGTCAAAAATGCAACAAAATGATAAAATAAAGAGGAAAATATGTACTTCCCACCCCCACACCTAAATTTTGCATTGTCCTCAATGTAAATTCACTGATGCACAAAGTAAAGCAGATAAGAATTGAAGAACTTACATTTGTTCGGTCGATAATGATGATAAGGATCTGCAATTACTGTTAGTATGAGGATGAAGAAATCAAATAAGAGAGAAATTTATTTATTTATTTATTTATTTTATTTTATTTTTATTGTTAAATTTTTTTTATTATAGATAATGAGGTTCATGAAGAACCAACACCTCTTCCTCTCCGAGCGTAGAAAATTCTAAAAATGGTTTCTGACGTTGACCATTTATTTTAAAAATATTACTATTTTTAGGATTTTCTATCTCAACAGCCCCATGTGGAAAAAATTGTTTGAAAAAAATAGACCTATCCATCTTGATCTTAATTTTCCAGGAAAAAGATGCAATTTTGAATTGTACAATAAAACTTTCTATCCTGAAGAGAAATTTTTTCGTAAAATTGATTTATCATGAAAAATCTTGGTTTTCTCTTTATAAATTTTTGAATTTATGTATGCATCATTTTGAATTTCTTCCAACTCATTTATTTGGAGCAATCTGTACTTACCTGCTGAGTCTAAGTCAAAATTCAACTGTTTTATTGCCCACATTGCTCGATGCTCCAATTCCACTGGTAGATGACAGACTTTTCCAAACACTAGTCTGTATGGTGACATCCTCAAATTAGCCTTGAAAGCTGTTCTATATGCTCATAGAGCATCACATAATTTTTATAGAACAATCTTTTCTGTTATGATTAACTGTTTTTTCTAAGATTTGTTTGATCTGCCTGTTTGTGACCTCTACTTGTCCACTTGTTTGGGGGGTGATTAGAAGTTGATAATTTGTGTGTGATTGAATATTTCCTCATCAAAG